AGCAAGGTCGTCTCCCTGCTGGTTTCTCAGAGCACGCATAATGGCAGAAATCCCTGCTGCTCCCTTTGGGCAGTGGGGCACCATGGACATGCAGCTGCTTGCACAGCTCTTCTCTGCAGGTGGAAGCTCGTTCTTCCTTACAGACATGTTTTGTCACTGAACTGTTAATGGCTTCAGCTTTCACAGGTTAGGAAAGTCCCCATTTCCACCAAGTGACACCAGGCAGTTGTGGCTCAGCATGGGCCAGGGGAGGAAGCGGCCGAGGGAGAGCTGCAGAGCCAAGGAACCTTGCAAAGCCAGGGAGCCATGATGACTCTTTTCCTTCGTGCATGCGGTCAATCATATATCTTGCTGCACTGTTTTCATGCAGTTCCACCAGCGTGGAGCAGGCACGGACCTTGGGACCCCGTGCAGACCCGCACGTGGCACCGTGTGTCGGTGCATCGAGCCGCGCTCGGTCCCGGACATCCGGGCTCAGGCAGGGTCTCGGAAATGCTCCCGACATCTGCGCTGACGCTGTGTTGGGGGTCCGACTCCTCAGTGCTGGTTGCTGTGGAGATGAGAAACAGCCCTTCCCGCTGCCTAATTTTAGCTTTCCACCTTGAGGCCCCGCATTGCTGGTTGCCATGGTGATCCCTCACCGCAGGCGCCGCCGCCGGCGTTCTCGCCCGCGGGTGCCTTGGAAATGTCTCTTTTTCCTCCTTCTCCCCAGGAAGCAACAGCTGAGGCAGAAGCATTGCATGTGCCTCACTGCACTGTCAGTTCAGCTCTTCTGCTTGGCGCTTGCCTGTTTGCATGCAAGAACCCTTCATCCATGGGGTTACGCTTCCCAGCCCCCCAAAAGCAGCATGCGTTCCCATCCCCATTCGGCAGACAGTCTGGGCTATGCGTACGTGGCGCTGCCCAGCTGCCTTGAGTTTCTGGCCCGTGAGCCGTAGCGAACAGCTTTCTCCATGGTCTTTGTCCGAGAAGATGTCTGAGGATGTTGTGCCCCTGCGGAGGCTGCGGGGTGAAGAGTCAGGAGTGCCCCTGTGCCATGGCGGATGCTCAGAGTCCAGGCGCTCCTGCCCTGGCTTCATGCCTGCCGCTTTTACACCTTCCCACTTGCTCTCTGGGCAGCAAAGGAGTAATTAAAAGATGGAGAGAGCTTGGGCGTCTCACCCGAGGAAGAAGAGGGGAACTGCCTTGTCACGGCTTGTGGTGTAAATGCCACCGTGCAGCAATTAGTAACGAGTCTCTGCCCTTTCCCTTCTGCCTGCCCGAGCGCGCTGTGCACAGGGACGAGTGACGCTTCCCAAGCCCACAAGTGACAGAAAAGGCAATGACAGCTCCCTTCCTTCCTCACAGGGAGGAAGCAGTGAAGCAGTGTAAAAAATGTGATTCCAGCCCCCAAATCCTGAAATTGATTTAATGGCGATGGCATTTAAACACATAATACACTGTGGAGTCTTTTTTTTTTTTTTTTGTGACCTGGCATTTAAACTTCTGCAGTTCACATTTTCAAGCTTTTACGTGGTAGGTGCAAGGACAAGCTATTTAATATGGAAGTGGCAGCTGCCATCCCCGCTTACTCATATGACTCCAGCAGACGGAGCTTTATAAAGAACAACCATGACAAGGTCCACGGTAAGATCAGAATATCTGTCACAAGAAACTAGTTGGGCTGGTAGCGTCTGGGAGGTCGCCAGAGAATCAGGAGTGAAGTTATAAAGCCTCATTTGCAGACCCTCACCATACTTGTCCATTCATCCACTGCCGTTTCTGTTACACTCCCAGTTATGCACAGGAGACTCAGACTTTGCCGGGAAGGCGGCCGGGAGCTGCTAGAGAGAGCTCCCACCCTGCGGTATGCTGTGAACCACGTCAGAGCCGTGTGGCCATACCAAGCGGTAGCGGTGGCAACTGCTAACTTCATCTGTGTGCAGGCTGGCGGAGGAGAGTGTTTTCTGGCTCTTGCAGGAGGTGAGGGCAGGATCTGCAGCAGCAGCTGTTAACTCCTGGCAGAGGAGTGCACCTTGACCTGCGAAGCAGCCGCAGTCAGGTTGCAGGTGCAAGGTGGGTAGAAGAGGTGATGTCTGATGAAGGAAGGAGGGGAGGGTCTAGGGGATTTTTGGAGGGAGGCATACGAGTAGAAGAGGCTATGGTTTGTAGGTTGTTGATGGAGAAAGTACGGTTTGTGGGGCGAGTGCTGCAAGGATGGGGGGCAGAGGGGGCTGAGTTACTGCTCTGGGAACTGGGGTGGAAGCTGAGAGCTGCTTTCACTGAAGGTGGAGCCAGCACCCAGCCTGGTAGCTCCTGCCATGGCCGCTGCTGCCGGGGGGCAGGAGGGGATGAGCAAGATGAGTCTGAGAAAGTGTGTGTGCCAGAGTGAGAGGGCAGGCAGGCAGAGTAACTCGATTCCTTTGTTCCTCTGGCAAACCCCTGGGGTGGAGACAGCCGTGCCGGGACATGGCAACCAGCTCTGACCCACTGCCAGCCTAGGACAGCTTAAAACAACAACAAAGAAGCAACCACCAAACCGTCTTGCTTTGATTAATAAAAGAAATCAGAATAACATGGCTCTCTAGCCTGGCAGGAGGCAGGTTGTCCTCAGAGGCTGTTCTGGCAGCGTCACCCCCGCTCCCCCCTGCCAGCATCCCTGCCGCGGGTCCCAGTGGGTGAACTCCGGGACGGCTCCTGTGCTCTGGTGCTACAGGGGAGGGAGCTGTGGCCAGGACAGCCGCATCGCAGGCCTGGTTTCCAGCGAGCTGGCGAGGGGAGAGGAGTCTTGCAACCCGAGCTCGGTCCTTGCAGACGCCTGCCGAGGCCAGCTGCGGTTGCAGCAGTGCCATCTTAGCCCAGGAGGCAAGAGCCAGGTTTGGCATCGGTGGGCAGGCCGGGAGCCTGCTGCTGGCAGTCCTGCCTGGCCATGGGTAAGGAGAGGCAGAGTACTGCCATCTATTGCCAGGCACCTGGATTACAGACCTTGGTGGGTGGCGGTTCAAAGCCGTGTCTAACTTTTTTTTTTCTGGTCTTTGGTTCGGTGGAGGGGTGGGCACGTTGTTTGAAACCCTTTAAATAGATCAGCACTTAGGTGCCTTCAGTGCATTTTAGTTGGGGGAGTGCCCTAGCCAGGCTCCAGCCTGGGAAAATTTGGTTTTTCTTTGTGCTTTTTGCAAAATGAGTTATTATTCCTTTCCTGCCCTAAGTTGTGTGAGGTTGCTTTGTGCGGTGAAGTACTCGTGTTGCTCCATCCCACTCCAGAAGCGCCTAGATCATTTACCCCAGCCCTCCACCAGAAGGCAACTAAGGAGAGGTGGATGCAGCAGAAGGGGCAGAGTGTCTTTCATAGCTCAGAAATGATATGTGAAAGGAGGACGAAGGGGCAGAGGGAGAATAACAGACTGTCTTCATGGGGTGGGCAGGCCTGGGACATGGGGTACATTTCTGAGCTAAGACTAGTGTGTCTGAATACTATATTTTTATTTTACAGGATAAGCAGCGAGATAGGAACGTTTGCAGAGAGTAAGAAAAGTGTTTGTCACTATGCGAACCTGGAGGGAATCCTGCAATGCTTTGAAAAGACCTTCTTGGGCTTGATGACTCTGCAGTAGGCCAGCAGCCAAAATATTCTGAAGAGCAGGGCAAGGTCATTCAGAAAATGATCTGGCTGTCACTGTGGGCTGTTCAGTAAAGACAACAACTCACTGTGAAATTGTGGTTTAAAAGCAAACCAAAAAAAAAAGAAAATTAGGATAAAGAAGCAGTAGGAGAAAAAACGTGCTCAGCATTTGTTATTGAATGTATCAATAATGCTTGCTCCTCAGGCAAATTCTGCTCCTTTTTGATCACCTACTTTCAAAAGTATATGATGGAGGTACAAAGATACCACAAATGAGCAGAGGTTAAGAATAATACTCAGATGAGAAGGTAGAAGAACCTTTGTGTATTAGAGAGAAGAGTCACAGCCGATGTGATTGACCTATCCCACTGATTATTTTACATTCCTCAATCTTCAGTCTCTGATACAAAACTGTTAAGGAAGCCAGTTGGCTAGCCTGAACCAGATACTTAACTTCCAGGTGGAAAATGTTAGATGAATTGAGAGTCACAAAGGAAATTCATGACAAAGCAGGGAATTAAACCAGGGTCTCCAAAGTCTGAACCCCTGGAACAGTCTTCTCTTTTAAAAGTCTAAGAAAAAAAATACATTAAACTGATAAAAGTAAACGGTGGTTTTATTGAAAACATGATTAACCTGTGGAAATCTTCCCTGCTAGGTGTCACCAGTTTGGGAACGCAGTGGGACTCAAAAAAAAGGATTCGACAGTCACGTGAACAACAAGAATACTTGTGATGGCTTTGGCTAGGAGAAAAATGTAAAGTGTATAAATTGTGCTGCAGGGCATAAGTCAACTGCTGGCTGTGAGGGACCAGGAAGAAATTTCCTCTGTGAGAAGGTTACTGTATAATTATCTATGACAGTGTTTCTTCCTTTGAAGTGTTTAATCTTGACCAGTGGAGGCAAGATAATGGGTCCTGTAGTTTTGTGAAGTTTTTTTGTGACAGGTGCATTATCTGGTGCCCGATGGCGATTTCTTCTGCCTGTTCGGTATCACACCTTTCTCCAGGGTTACGCTCACCTTCTTCTTAAATGTCTCAAGCAAAGACATTTCTGCTCCCTGTCCTCCATGAAAAAAATTTTGAAGACGGCAGTGGCGAATTATTCTTGCCATTCATGCTAGGCTTTCTCTTGCTCCTGTTTGTTCCAGTTCTCCTAGGTGATTTTCCGGGAATGACCTCAAGGAAGTTCTCTATTGCTGGGGCTGTAGCCCTAGCTCTTGTGTCTGCTCCTGGTTATTGTCTGAGCTGCTCATGTATTTCAGTCATGTCTCTCTTGTTCTGTAATCCGTGCCTTACCGCCTTGGTGTTCTTTAGTCCAGTCTAGAAGTTAAATGTGTTACTTTTTTAAAGCTGTGTTGCTGCTCTTCCGGGTAACTTGATGTATTTTGTGTCTTTTACTTTGTATCTTGCAGGAGGAGCCAAGGAGCAAATCCAAGATCTGTGCCAATGTTTTCTGCGGAGCTGGGCGGGAGTGTGCAGTGACAGAGAAGGGAGAGCCAACCTGCCTCTGCATTGAGGTAGGAGGGCGGCACAGCTTCTGCATCTGGGATGGGTGTCACCACTACCACCCCGCCCCCCGTCTGGGTTTTGGTTGCTGGAAGGGTCCCATGATGGGATGAGGGCTATGGCTGTTTTGGAACAGCTGCAAATTCACAGCAGCTCTTCAAACAGCAGGGCTTTTCCTAGTGTGCTGTGGGGGAAGAGCCCTGTAGGGTAGATATTGTCTGGGGCTTGCAGCTGTGCTATTCGCACAACTGCCTAGGGTCTTTACATGCACAGGAGACTTGGCTGGAGGTCTTTTGTTGGGAAAACCCAGTAGGGTATTGATATGCAGCTGGCTTTGGAGGGCACTGTAGGGAGTGGTCTGCGAGCTCCAAGACAGCCTTCCCTCACTGGCATCTTGTTTGAGGAGGTTACAAGCACCCTACTAAAAATCAGCTTTTGTAAAATGGAAATAATTGTGGTAGAGTGCTGTGAGGATGAATAGCTTCATCCAGCAGGGAGCCGGAGATGATTAGAAGAGCATTTCCCAGCTGTAGAGACACAGTGTCTCCCTGCTCCACTCTGCCTGTGCTTTCAAACCATTCCTGCCTGGCTCCTGGGAATGGGTGTGAGGCTCTTTGTTCCCACTCCCCTCAGAGCCTGCAGCTCTGATGCGGCCAGTCTGGGCGCTGGAGAGTTGAAATGCCCTGTTAGCAGGAAGAGAGTCTGTCACTCTGCGTAGGCTTGGCCAGACTGAAAGGGACACGAGAAAGAAGCCCACAGCCTGAACAGTGGCACTGGTGAACTCTCCCTCTGCTGTAGGCCGTGCTGTTTGCTCATGGCTCATGGTGTATTCTACATTCGGTTGCAGAAAGGTGGAGCAGAGTCTACAAAGACGTGCAACAGAGCTGAGTAAGCAGACGTGCACAGAACAGATTAACAGAAACACCTCTGGACAGGCACATCCATGGCACACAGAGCAACACTTGCAGGATTACTCTCAGTATTTATGCTGGTGTTGTGGTTTAACCCCAGCCAGCAACTAGGCACCACAAAGCCGCTCACTCACTCCCCCCGGCGGAATGGGGGAGCGAATTGGAAGAGTAAAAGTGAGAAAACTCATGGATTAAGATAAAGACAGTTTAATAGGCAAAGCAAAAGCCACACATGCAAGCAAAGCAAAACAAGGAATTCATTCACTACTTCCCATCAGCAGGCAGGTGTTCAGCCATCTCCAGGAAAGCAGGGCTCCATCACATGTAACAGTTACTTGGGAAGACAAACGCCATCACTCTGAATGTCCCCCCTTCCTTCTTCTTCCCCCAGCTTGACATGCTGAGCATGACGTCATATGGTATGGAATATCCCTTTGGTCAGTTGGGGTCAGCTGTCCCAGCTGCGTCCCCTCCCAACTTCTTGTGCACCCCCAGCCTGCTCACTGGTGGGGTGGGGTGAGAAGCAGAAAAGGCCTTGACTCTGTGTAAGCACTGCTCAGCAATAATGAAAACATCCCTGTGTTATCAACACTGTTTTCAGCACAAATCCAAAACATAGCCCCATACCAGCTACTGGTATGAAGAAAATTAACTCTATCCCAGCCCAAACCAGCACAGCTGGGCACTGATTTCTCTGCTGGGCTCTGCTTTCAGGAAGGCTCTTGTCATGGTGGTGGTGCCAGAGGCTGGGATGAAGTGAAGCCTTTGAACCCACACAGGCTTCTCTGTATGGGTTTTTTTGGGGTGGCAATGGGAGTGTTCAGCCTGCTGCAAACACCTTTTGGGCTAAGGGGGCTGTGCCAAAGGCTTCTGTTGAGTTGGGCTGATGCTGGGACTCACCTGCCTCCCTCTAGCTGTCCTGACGAGGCAGGTAAAATGCTGTCTTCTCTGGCTCTCTCACAGCAATGCAAACCTCACAAGAGGCCTGTGTGCGGTAGCAATGGTAAGACGTACCTGAACCACTGTGAGCTGCACCGTGATGCCTGCCTCACTGGCTCCAAGATCCAGGTGGATTACGATGGCCACTGTAAAGGTAACCCTGTGTCAGGGAGCGATGAGGGGCGACTGCTCTCTAAGGGAAGGAGAGCTGGGAGCCAAGCGTGATAACAAGGCAAGGCAGAGGTCTAGCCAGCCAGGACCCTGTATTACAGTTGCAAAGCAGGGTAAACAGGGCAAGCCTGGGAACGATAGCCAGGTTCAGCCAAGGGTCCAGATCACCAGGCAAGTTTGGTGATGAAGTAGGCCTGAAGTCAAGCCATGAAATCAGGTCAGGATCAGTTCTGGTGATGGTAACCAGGATCAGACCAGTTAGATCTGGCCAATAATTGCCAGACAAGTCCATAGTGATGCAGTCTACAGCAGGTCTGAGATCAAGGTGGGAAGACAGTCACCAGGTCAGGGCCTAGATCAGCAGTCGCTATGGCAGGTACAGGAATGGTTGCAACAGAGTTGGAGAAAAGCATACCTACAACATAATCCCAGGCAAGGACTAGGGGCCAAGACATCAGCTGAAATGGAGCTCCTGGGCTCATGGGTAGAGAGTGTGAATGGAGGCCCTAGGTGAGGCTGGCAGGGCCATTAATGCCCTCATTAGTGCACTTAGGACCCTGACACCTTGGTTGTGGTGGGAACTATTGTCTCCCTAGGTTGCTGGGAGGGGGGCACTCAGGAGAGCAGAGCAACTTCTTGCTCCTGCCTGCTTCTCTCTGAGCTTGTGGATTCAGCCAGGCAGGTCTCAGTCTACCTGCTGGAGGAAGGTTAGACTCTCAGGATAAACCCCCACAGCCTGTACTACCATCCATGTTCATGAGTGACTTCAAGAACTTTAGGAGCAAGGATTTTGCCTCAACGGTGGGCCTGTTCAACTCACCCCCATGCCAGCCGCACAGTAAAAAAGTGTTTTCTTATGTTCAGACAGAATTTCATGTGTTTAAATATGTGCCCGCTGCCTCTTGCCCTGTCACTGGACACCACGGAGAAGAGTCTGGCTCATTCTTCTTCATTCCCTCCCATCAGATACATAAACATTGATGAGATTGCACCTGAGCCTTCTCTTCTTCAGGCTAAACAGTCCTCAGTCTTCCCGTGGGGTGACAGGTGTTCCAGTCCCTTAATCATACACGTGGCCCTCATGTTTCCAAAGACTCCCAGGTTCCTCTGCTCTTGCCCAAGTGGCTCCTAGGGTGGGAAGAGGTTCATATTGCTTCATGTTGCATCAGAAATGTCCTCTTCTGTCTTTCCATTAACAGAGAAGAAGTCTGAGAATCCAGCTGCAAGTCCAGGTAAGAAGCCATCTCCTTTCTGGCTGGGGCCTCTGTATGAATTTGGGAGAAGAGATGGGGAGGAAGGTCTGCTGGGGGGTTGCACAGCTCTGTGTAAAAGTCATACCTCTGCACTGGCTGTAGCAGAGTCTGAGTTGATAAATCAGCTGAAATATGATTGCCCAGCTCTTTACTCCTGGGTAACCTTTCAGAGCTCATACATCTCCTGGGCTCTTCACTGTGCTGGGATGTCTCGGGGACTCTGAGCATGTAAGAGGTGCAGTGAAACCCAGTTTGCCCCTAGGGACATAAGCTGTGTTCATCATTCAGACTGAGGGAAGAGACACTCTTTTGCATAGTTCATTGGGGATCTAAGACACAATAACTGTGGAGCTATGTCCCCAGCTCCAAGAGCACTCTTTCGAAAGGAGACTTTGCTTCAGGAGCGATTAACCGATGGGCGCAGGGGCAGAGAGCCAGCACAATGTAACGAATGGGGCACTGTCAGGGAGCTTGGAGGTGTAGCTGAACCACGTCTCCCATCAGCCAACAAGTGTCTTTGATTCTCTGTGCCTGGTTTCTCCTCTTATGCATTGCCTTGTGTACTTAGACTATGGATTTTGGGACCATGGCCTGTGCGTCATCAGGGGATCCTTTTCCCATCCATGGCTTCTGAGTGCTGGAGCTGTATAATCATCAACTTCAGCTTCCTAGGACAGATGAGAGCAAACCTTCGTACAAGCTTAAGGGAAAGGACCATGTCAAGGCACGGTCACCACCTTAAAGCAGTTTTAAGAAAGTTAAAAATAAAATATGCAGAATCCTTACAGGTTTTTTTTTCATCTATCTGTCTGGCTGTGATTGTAGTCACTGGATTCAGGAGATCATTAGTGTGTGTAAGTGACACGAATGCACGCTGATTCCCTTTCTGGCTCCATTGACCTCTGGGCAGGTGTGACAACTCACAGAAGCCAGAAGATCTAGGCTTTCAGTTTTGCTTGTAAATGCAATATACTAGCATGCAAAGCGATATCCACCTAGAAAAACCTGTGACTGTAGAAAGCACTGTGAACAAGCCCAACTTGACCCCCTCTCATTTCCAATCAGAGTGGACAAGTCAGGGGTTTGAAGAAACGAAATCTCCTGAGTTAGTAGGCCCTAAAATTCAAGTCTTGGGGACAGCGTGGTGGAAAGGCTTGCTCAGTCTAGTCTTCACCCTTGCAGAGGATAAAGGTTTTGGTACTTGAGGGGGTTGACGGCCAAATGCCTGTTCTGCATGGCATCAGGTAGCCTGCGGACACTGTCCGTCACCTTCCTCCCTCAGTCTGGGGACTCTTCACACCAAGATGAGTCAGCTCTGGGTTGTTCTTCCACAAGCTTCAGGGATGGGAAGACAGAAGAGCTTTGGAAGGAGTGTCGTTTTCTCGCCTTGCCACATGGTGTCACCCACAGCCCATCCGCCATTCAGCACATGGCACCCCTGCTTTGATCTGGAAGTGGTGCATCTCCAAGGTCGGAGGGGCCTGCAAACTGCCATCAGAGCTGGCTAGCTGGCTTTTATTTCCAGTCTTCTCTCTGTGGTCTCCCTGCCAACTACATTTCTCTCATCCTTGCTTTTTCTTCTGCTACACCTTCTCCCGTTACAGTTGTCTGCTACCAGTCAGACAGGGACGAGCTTCGTCGCCGCGTCATCCAGTGGCTGGAAGCTGAGATTATCCCAGACGGCTGGTTTTCCAAGGGCAGCAACTACAGTGAAGTCCTGGACAAGTATTTCAAGGCAAGTAGAGCAGCGCCTGCCTCAGAGGCCGGAGAACATTTCTTGCCCTGTCACTGCAAAGCAGCTGCCTCGCCACACCCAAGAGGCTCCAGTGTGTGATGGGCCTGTCAAGCTGGGAGCCAAAGATGTGATGTGTTATGGGCTGCCTGCAGCAGCTGCTGACAGAGCCACTGACACGGCTACGTGACAGCCCAGACCTGGAGCATCCCTGGGGATCTGTCCTGGGGAAAAGGAGGAGGGCAGGCCAAGTGTGCCTGAGGCAGGGTAGAGAAGAACTGATCTCAGGGGACAAAAGATAGCCAGAAGAGAAAAGGTGGGTGAAAGCGCTGGAAATGCAGGGAGAAGGAGGAGGAAGCCAGGGCAGGGGCCGCTGATCCTTTGTTCCAGACAGTCCCAAGGCTGTGCTGAGGTGGGGATAGGGGACACCTGGGGGCTTCAAGGTGAATATTTGCTTGCAAGGAGTGTGGCCCAGTGTGGCTGAGAGCTGGCAGTTCCCTAGTGCTCTGCAGAGAGAGAGGAACCGCTCCTGAGTCTCGGGCCCCGCAATAATCCCCTTCCTCTTCCCTCCTCCCTGTCAGTCTGTCCCTCAGCCCATCCCCACCCCCTTTTGTAACCAGCAGATCACAGGCTTCTCCCATGGTCCTGCCACATGCACTGCTGCGTCCCTCCCCCTCACGCCCAGTTCCTGATAAAGACTTCAAAGCATTCAGGATGGAGCTGGAGGAGCAGGTGGGGAAAGGGGGAGAGTGTTTAAATCATAAGCTGTTGACAGCGAGAGATTAATGGTGCCTGACAGGAGTTAGCGCTGCAAGCAAATTTGCCATGGCAATGGCACCCCCTGGTGAGACACAGGAGCTGGTCCCCACGCTCCAGAGAGCGTCTTCGCCTTTGTAGCCATTAATGCTGCTCCGTCTGTGGAAACCCACTTGTGGCCCACTGCCTCGGGCACCCCCGCCGGCGCCTGCCAGCACCCGAAAGAAGCGGCATCCTGCGGTGGGGAGCTGCGCAGTCCCCTCCCCCTGCAAACGTGCTGTCCCCAGCTGCCTTTGCGGAGAGTCTCCCCAGGCCATGGGCTTTGCTGAAATGCATGAGCCAGCCACAGGCTTGCTCCACTGCCGCCGCACAGCCAGGTCACCCCCGCCAGCCCCACGCCTGTCAGGGTGCTGGTAAAATCCCGTGGCTGCAGCTTAGAGGCAGACAGCCTCAGGTTCTTTTTATTGTCCCCCTTTTTGTGGAGCACTGATGCCAGGCACAAGTGAGTGAAAGTTTCCATGACAAAGCCATACCTTTTCTCGACCAAAGGAGGAATTTCCTTCTCTGTCAGGTGGTAGTACACCATATCAACAACCCTTAAAGCTTTGAAATACTTTTAAAGCAGAATTCAGAGCTTGGAATACAAGCAAAGCAAACTAAATGGGTTCAAATACACACAAATTTGTTTCACCAATGATGCTCCGCTGTCGCTGGAGGAATTCTACCATGCCCAGCCCTGGGGCTCTGCACGCTGCGCTGCGAATGGCCTGATTCCTGCCCTGCAGGTAATAAAACTGGAGATAAAGATGACATTAAGCTTTTCCCTTTTCTCCTTGATGGGGAGGTTTGTAGATGTGGCATTAAGCTGTTTCCCTCCTGGAAGCCTGACTTGTGTGGATCACTGGGGTGTGGGTTGTACAGCAGGCAGGCCTTGACCTTGGAGGACGTTATTTCAAGAGGAGCAAGGCCGGTAGTGGGAAGCTGCTCTGTTTTGGAGGGTCTCTGGGGGAACACGTAAATGCATACCATAGCATTGAAAGGCAAGAAAACTAGCTTAACTGACTCTCGGTCATTAAGGGAACTGCAGTCACTTTCACAAGAAATAGCGGGACAAGAGGCTTCAGAGTCTAGTAGAAGTTGAAACATGTTAATGGAGCAGTTATACACAGGCTACAGCGCGCAGAGTAATTCTCCTAGCCCTACAGGTTTCTCCTGAACCACATAGAGGTAACAACAGGCAGTGTCTCTTCCAGCATTCCTGGAAGCACTGCAGGAGGAGACGCAGTGACCTGCCCCAAGTCACACAGCAAAAATTAACCGGCAGCAGTCTGTGTGCAGAATTCGTTTTCCCCTCCCTGCAATACAGCTGTCTCTGAGGGGGCCCAGCAGTTCCTGCCGAGTGCCCAGCACTGTGATATGACATCTCCAAACAGGAAGGCAAAATGCAATTACTTCTTTGGGAGTGGAGCCAGGATTCTGGGGCTAAACATCCTGCTCTTCAGTGCCAGGCGTCCTGTCAGGACCTTAAGAAGTTGGTGGCGAGGCGTTGGGCTGTTGCATTAAATTGTTCCTTCTTTGGGATCAGCAGAAAATTGCTTCCTGTGATTTTTCCCTTTTGTCACTGTCACAGTCCAGGCACAGCTTTGGATTTACACGTATTGGAAAGCTGACACCTCCCTGAATGCAACTGGTCTGCTTTAAGGCAGGCGGTATATAAGAAGGCTGAGAGCTGGCTGGAACAAAGAGAAGAAATGGGGTTAGAGCCATAAATCAAGCAGCAGGAGGTGAATGAGAGGCAGCGTAGCTTATCGGTGAGAACAAGGCTAGGATCATGTCTCCCAGTTCTGATGCTAGTATGGATATGTTGCTGCTTTTCTCTGGGCCTCTGTTCTTTGTGCAAAACAGGGATGATGCAACCTGTTTCACTAAACCTTCAAAAATGCTAAGTACATATGGAAGAGGGAGAAGAAAGGGGTACCCTGAACTGATAAATCAGACCCTCTCACATTTTCCTATTTTTTTTTCCCTACAGAGTTTTGACGATGGCGATTCTCGCTTGGACTCCACTGAATTCCTGAAGTTTGTGGAGCAGAATGAGACTGCTGTCAACATCACCACTTACGTGGACCAGGAGACCAACAAGCTGCTCAGGTGGGCAGTGGACAGGATGCCAGAAGGAAGGCCAGGGGGCCAGATGTGGTAGAAGGGGGCATGAAAATCCACTCATGGAAAATATCAGTTAGGGCTTGGACTAACAAAGATAACTCTGTATGAAGTGGCTTCTCACTTAATTAGGTGTGAATACCACCAAAAGGAGCAGTCCCACCCTTACCCTTCACTTTAGGCATGTATTCTAATCCCTTTTTGCCTTAAATCTAGTAAGTGTGCAGCCAGAAGGTGAGTTGGGTGACAGAAAATTTGTTGTCTTTTTTATTTCCTAATAAATTAACTTTCCAATGGACTTTACTCAGCTTTTGCCTCGTAGCTAGATGCAGTGCAAGGAAGATGGTGGGAAAACACAGCCCATGGGCAGCCTGCAGTTAGAGCTGGTGCAAGCATCACATGAAAATGTAGTTTGAGAGGTTCCCATTTTTCTGTGTATGTGCCACTGTGTGTGAGACTGAGGAGAACAGGCTGCTTGTGGTTAGGCTGTGCTGGCCTCTGTACTGATGTGACAGCATGTAGATGTCAACAGGGTCCTATTCTTGCTGTTCTGAATATCTCCTCAGCTCCCAGCCCTTCGCCAGCCAAGGGAGTATTTTTTCTTTTGTCTGTATGCAGTGAGGTTTCCTTAGGGAAGCCACTTCTGCCAGGCATCTCAGAGCCTTCCTGGTTATTACTGGTTTTACTCCTCTGTACTCTGAAGCCAGTAGAGCAGGGACCTGCCTGGTACAGCCCTGTGCAGAACATGCCTCTGTGTTTCCTTTCAGGGGACTCTGCGTAGATGCCCTCATCGAGCTGTCAGATGAAAATGCTGACTGGAAGCTCAGCTTCAATGAATTTCTCAAGTGCCTCAGCCCATCCTTCAACCCACCAGAGAAAAGTAGGAACTCCTCACTTATGCTGGGGAACCAGAGGGGTCCTGGGAAGGGAGGAAAGAAAAGAGACCAGCTTTGAGCCAGACATCGGATGCTGTAACTCCACTCCCAGAGATAATGTTGATATACGCCTACTTCCCATCCGACAGCACCCCTTGTCCCTGCATTGTCAAAAGTACTGCTTTTTCTGTCCCAGAGCTCCCACAGGGCTTGTGATGAAAAAAGTTTGGATTTTAGAAGCAAGGGTGTAGGTCAAATGGATATGGTATGCTTGGAAGGTCAAGACATGTATTTAACAGTGCGGAGATAAATCGTGTGAGGAATTCACATCTGGATAACTTACGAAAGTCAGACCAGACCAAAGTCCTGCTATGCTCTGCCTTTCACACAGAGAGCCTTCCTGATGAACATCTCAACGTTCACTATCCTTCCAAATCCTGCTTAGTGCTACAGTTCACGTGGAAGCAGCTTAGTGTTCTGCTTGACCAGGCTTGCCTAGCCATTCATCTAATTGTCTCCTCAGGGGGTGCTGTTCCAAAGGTGCCGGATTTACATCCCACTGTGGTGGCACCGAGGAGCAGACAGAGGCTATGCTTCTTAGGGAATATTAAGTTGAATCCTCTGTTGCCTGTCTCAGTGGGAAGCTAGGGATGCTGCACCTCCTCCAGAAAACATGATCAGCTGGTTTTCGCTTAACACCATACAGGCCCTTGAGTTCTTTGGGGGCCTCGACTTAAACATGTAATAGAGCTGTGAGAAGAAATGTGAGCTGAAATGAGAAACCTTTTTTTTATTCCCCTTTCTTTCTCAGAACAGCAAATACACAAATCATTTCCCCAACTTCTCCCTACCTGGAACAGGAATTATTTCAGAGTAACCGAAAGTTTCACTTTGGGGGTTCTATTCTATGTCTAACAGATTAGGAAATTCAAACAAATCCAATACTGAGATTTCATTTGGAATTGAGCAATTGAAATGTGTTCTTTTGAGGAGGCAAAATAAAGTGTTTGACTTTCCCAAATTATTTTTTGGCTGATTTCACACACCAAATTCAGCATGAATGTTTTAGTCAATTCCCCTAACTTTTGGTGGTTAGGGGAAGGAAGGCCTCCTCCAAAACTCTTCTTTCTCAAGGCATCTCCAAAGTATGTTGTCTTTAGCCTGCTCGCTATCTCACAACCACTGCCCTTGCTTTGTGCCTCTCTAGAGTGTGCCCTGGAAGATGAAACCTATGAGGATGGAGCAGAGACTCAGGTGGAGTGCAACCGCTGCGTCTGTGCCTGTGGGAACTGGGTGTGCACTGCAATGACATGCGAAGGTCCGTATGCTCTCCAGACAGTTGCTGTATTGGTTTTGTACAAAAAGGGTTTTTGCTTTCTATCTTTCCAAGGGCACCAGCTATCCAGATTTCTTCTCTCTCCAGTTCTTCCTTAGCTTCTTTATGGGTGGCTTCTGCATCACCCTCCCATGCTTCATGTTGGCCAAACCCAAGCTGGTTTTGTTTTAGAGGGCAGAAGTGTGTAACTGGGTTGTGGGCAATGCTGCTGGGATTTGTAGTTCGGATTTGGTGTCATGAAAGGTCAGCACCAAACCTTCCAGACCAGAGCTACTCTGCATCCAGCTGGCTTGGGGCATGCAGAGACCAAATAGGTCACTGTCTGCAACCATATGTGTAGGTGTGAGCAAGTCAGCTTTCCTGTATGTATGTCAGTATCCTCACTCTATCTGTGTTTAAGCTGTCTGTAAAACTGGAGCTAGGGTCTTGTCTTGCCCCAGAGAGGAGATAGGAGACTTCATCTAGTAATGTCAAGAGAGCACTTTAGCTTCTTGCTGTAAGAACTGTAGAAGTAAAAGAAAATAATGGTGATGGAGATGAAGGGAGGTGGTGTTTATAGTAAGGCAGGGTTGTAGGTCTCTCTGTTCTTCCTCTGGAAGGTCCTTTTTAAACTTTCACAGCCATGTTACAATTGTGGGAAGTCGCGGTGGGGTTGTGAACAACGGCTCTCCATTTTGCCTTCTCACAGACGGTCCAGGGCCAGTGGAAAGCCAGCTTTCCCCTGCCTTGGGAAATGTACGGGTCCTTTTCAAGGAGCCACGTCCACCCTCTGCACTGCGCTGCATTTTTCTGGCCTTCTTCCCTAGAAACCAGGCCTTTGCATGAGCTTAGTTTTCAGTGCTGTGCAGGAGCTGTCAGCAGTACGTTAGTTCAGATCTATAGCCAGTAGCTTCTGCCAGGGCAGATGAAGGAAAGAGGGGAACAGCAACAAGTACGTATAAAGTTTCTTCCACATTTATCTGGCCTTCTGCAGCAGAGGCTTTGGGATCACCTCAGCCCAGACTGGGCTGTGGCAGCAGGAACTCACCTCAGAAAAGATAACTGTAGTACTAATAGAGCTCAGAGGAGCTGTGGGTAGGTCTCAGAGATTAAAGCAACCAAATGAGAGACTATTTTTGCTGCCCCCCCCAGAAACAACCTTCAAAGTTGCCGTGCAACGCCCGGTCTTGCTGCCTACTTTGTTCCCTGCATCCATGGCAGAAGCATGCAATGGGACAACAATTCCTTGACTTTCTGCCCATGTCAGAGCAGCAGAGGGGTTAGAGGCTATTGTTAGAGGAATAATGAAACCAAAGAATCAGATCAGATACATCAGCAAGTTGCATCTCCACTGAGCGAAATTACCTCTTCATTAAGCATCAGTTATTGTACTTGCATAGCACTGAGCTTCCATTTATTCCCTACAAGACGCCAAGAAGTTTGAACTAATTATACATGCTTCTGTTAAATAATATGCAGCCTCTTCCTTGTGGTTTTGTTATTTATCACATGGGAGGGAGAGATGGGGTCAGACTGGATACCCAGTCTGAAGTCCCAGGCAACCACAAGGCCCGTTCTCTTTCTAAGAAGCCAGCCCATACCTTCCTCCATCAAAGCTTTCCTAAGCTTGAGGTATGCTGTGACCGACCTGCCTCTTTTTGTTCTCTGTAGTTCAGCCTCTGAAATTTGTATCCTCCATTTGTGATAACGCTGAACTCCGTTTCTGTTTGCAGGGAAGAATGAGAAGGTGCCTGCTCAGAGACAGCAACCTGATCAAGACTTGACTGAGGAGGAGCTGGCTAGATACGTTCAGGAACTGCAGAAGCATCAGGTTAGCATGAGGCTGGGAAGATCTGCTTGCACTAAGTCTCTCCTTGCTAAGAGGGGTTCCCTCTGCTTCTGTCACTTGGAGACTTCTGGTAGAAGGGGGAGCACAGTAAAGGGGGATCCCTGTGGCCTGTGGGGACAAATACAGGTGTGGGGGGGCTTTGACGTATAAGCCAGTGTTAGCACTGCTTGTGGATGGACCAAAGGCTTCAGGGCACTGTCAGCTCCTGTGTCAGTGCAGAGCTTCACTTTTGTGCTCTCTTTCTCTAGGAGACGGCTGAGAAGACTAAGAGAATGAGCACCAAGGAGATGTAAGGGGCCTCCACACCGGAGGAGCCCAGGAGGATGGGCCCAACCTGCTGCCCTGTCCTCCAGTGCTGATCTCAGTATGCACAAGTGTCTGCTACAGTTGCCCAGTCACAGATATTTACATTGTATAGCGATGGGTTATTTGTTTTGTAATACACAGAGAATGGGGCCAGGAAAGGGGAGCAGAGCCCACCTGTTCAGGGAGCTTCGTTGCTGGGGCCTTGGAAGGCTGCGAGGGACTTAGAGCAGCCTCTGGGACCCTTTCCCAGAGCAGACAGCTGCTCCCTCCAAGAGCTAACAGGGATTTCTTGTTCCCCTGGATCTGGGGAAAGGACGGAGGTCAGTGCTGGATAGAAAAGGGGGTCTTCAATCGATACAATTGTCAGCACCGGCCTTGGCTGCAGAAATACAGGCCCGGCAGTTTTGTGGCTTAGCACGTGTGCTGCAGGGCATCGCTAGCCAAGGACCTTGCCCTGCTTACCCTCCCCTTTGGTTCGAGCTCCTCAAAGCTGGTCAGCCTGGTGTGACACCTGGAAGTCGTGGTGCCATGCTGCTGGCATGAGTCCAGCACGTTCCTCCTTGCTTTCCACCGGACTGTCCCCAGCAGCTCCTCCAGTACATTGTGGGCTCCAACACAACATGGTTCCTTTTGACCTCATCTCACTCTTACTCTCCCTGCCCCTTCCTTAGAGGTGCTATCGTATTTTTTTCTTATCACATTCACATGCTGACTCCCCCTTTTGTTTTGTTTTGGGTTTTTTTAAGTACTTTATTTCCTATGGTAGTAATTCAGCTTTTGTATGTTTCGTAGCTCTAGATCTTTCAAGAAAACCCAGCCTGTGGGTTTTTGTTATTGACAGTGCTGTAATGCCCATGCACAGTTTGTATCGCACTGCACTCAGCCACCGCAAACACCACAAGCAACTTGTGAGCCTTGCATTACAGGGTATTTCTCAGCTGGGGATAGCAATGTCCTCATGGGAAGAAGAGACAGGGCTGAATGTAATTAGTTTCACCAGGCGTGCATTCACACTGCAGCTCACTCTAGCTCTTGCTCCCTTAGCTAGACCATGTGCTCAAAGTCCGTGCTCATGCTTCTCTAAATTGCCCAGAGGGAAGTGCCAAGTAGTCTAGAGGCAGAGGGACCAGGCAATCCCATTAGCAGGGTATCTTAAAAGGCTTAACTACCTAGAAAACTGTTTACTTGGAGTCTGGGCTGTTAGCCATCATCTTGGGCTTTCCATCTCCCTCTGGGGTGAGGCAGCAGCATTACTATTTGATTCCAGGTCTGAGTTTGGAGTCAGGGCTGGAAACCTCATTACTGACATACTTCACGGTGTCTTTGGTCTGACCATCTTTGACCACCCTCACATCCCTTCACGGATCATTTTCGTCTGACCCGTTTCTCAGAGCATTGGTCCTAGTTATAGATGAAATGCTGTTTTGCTGACAATCACTCTGTAGCCTCAAGCCCAGCTGATTTTCTCCTGCAGTTGTCAAGTGTACTTCATACACTCACACACCTGAACATCCTGTTTCCACATTCCCTTCACGCCCCTTCTGTGCATCCCAAGCAGTTGCACATACCCTGAGTCGAGATGACTGCTTGTGACTTCCATCCTTCTGTTTGTGAGCAACTTCAGCAGTTGTTCCCAGGTGTTTTGCAGTCCATGGTGCTTACTCAAGTGAAACTCCACTTGCATTTGCAAAAGCATGTTCTGCTTGAGTGAAGATCAGCAGGACTTTTGTCCCAACCTTCCCATTTTTGCACAGTGCTTTCCTTGGAGAGGAAGAATGAGCTGGTACCTAGGAAGTGTAGGAAAAGAAGAAAGCTCAGTCCCTCCTATGGTCTCACCCAAGCGCCAGGTTTGTTAAAGGCTGTCTGGTCTTTGAGCTGTTTTCCTGACGTGAACCCAGAGGAATTCCATTGACTTTGGCACAGTGCCACATTTTCAGTGAGAATAATAATCTACCCTGCCATGCTCAGAGGTTTTGGCATAATAAATACAGAAGGGGGCTGGTTCTTTTCCCATGAGGGTCTGCATTTGAGAAGCTGTCACCTGTGAAGGTGAGGGGAATGAGTCCATAGGAGCTGAGGGTAATGGTGGCACTGGAGGAAGTGGTTTGTGGAATAGGAGCACCCGTTAGACATACCCTTGCTCATCCCCAACAGTATGTGCAAAACAGCTTCATGTGCTGGATCTGGAGTCACAGGAACATTGTTAATAAATATTTTGCTTTATTCCAACTCTGCTCTGAAAGGTAGTTTGTGCCTCCCAGCTCACTTCCTTCCAGCCTGGATCATTAAAGTGCCTTAGAGAAAACACAACAGCTTGCCTTAAAGGCTTTCCCTGGATGGGGATAACATCTTATTTCCAGTCAGGAAAACCTCCAACTGGGAGTAGCAGAGCATGTGCAGGAAGGGGAGGCTCATCCACGGCTGACGGGCTTCTGTAGGCTGCATTATGCGATACGTTCTTTAGTCCCCTTCCTGTCTCCTGCAGCTGTGCGGTCTACGAGGATGGCTGCTGGGGACAGCTGGAGAGGTGGGTGCTGGCGGTTGAGGTTTACAGAGCTTGCGCTTGCACTGAAGGCAGAGAGATGGGCTGCCATCTTGGGCAAGGCAAGCTGAGCTCTCTTCCAAGCCATACAACATATCCTAGGATAGCCTGGGGCAGCGGGGTGGGAGTGCAGTGAACATGCCTCCATGGAAAGGGCTGCCGCCTGTGGAGCCTTTTCCTCCTTGTGCCCTCTCGCTGTGGAGAGCGATGCCGGTTCTAAGGGCTACGGTACCCAAAGGGGACCGAAACATCTCGCCTCCCCACCCTGAGGGGAAGGGCAAGCGTTTGGTGAGCGATGCCCAGACCGTACCCCGCAGCAGACTGGTCGGTCGCTACTTCTGCAGGGTGACTTGGCTGCTGGGGAAGGGAGTGCTGAATTCCAGCCGTTGCCCTCTGGGACAATTGCTGTACAGACTGCAAGGGGCAGGGAAGGCTTTTTTTTTTCCCCCCTAAAAAAGCCAAATTTAAGCAACAAACAAAAAAGTCCCACTCCTCCCTCTATATTCCCTCCTGTACGTGTGTGAAATTTATCAGTATTCTGTAGGTTTCCTTAGTGCACTTATTTTACTTGATTTTGTAATTTTTTTGAAGCAGGGGGGGTTTGGATATTACTGCCAAATAAATGAAACAAAATTTTAAAAAGAACACGTGTTTTGTTTTATTTCTCACAAGCCACACTCCTCGTTTTCAAAAAAAAAATCAGCTGTGTTTTTGCACATTTATACACAGATCTCAATGCGCTTGACACATGTGAGACACGACTGTCTCTGTTTTATAGCTGGGGAAACTGAGGTATAGCAGAGAGAAGCAGAAAGGTGCAATCGTGTGGCGAGCCAGCGGCAGAGATGCAGGCGGCAGCCACGACTCCTGCTTCCCAGCCATGCGCTTTTAATGATGAGATTGCTCCACAATCCTTTCAGTATCCCCATTCGCTCCCCCAGCACACGCTCCATCTGTGCTGTTGGGAAAGAAAAACCTAGCGGCTCCCCATGTGTGATGTGATCACAAGACGAATGTGAGTTCGGGTCACACTGCCGATAGGAAGGCAAACCATTGTAGAATGGGAAGAATACAGAGGGACACAGGCAGTGAAGTACGGGGCAGTGGCTCCGTCCCGTGTGGCATCAGGGGAGCCTCAGCTGGAGTACCTTCTGGTTTGGGCAGTGCCTTTCGCTAAACGGGTGGATCAGGTGGAAAGAACACAGAGGCAAGTAAAAATAGTAACTAAAGGCCTTGAAAACGTGACTTAGAAGGGCAGATGAGAAGCTTTGGGCACAGTTAAGAAGGAAAGCTCTAAATGTTTGTCTTCAGGTGGAGACTGCTACCGAGATGAACGTGCCCGTCTCGCTGTAGCTTCAGTTGCGGCAGTCAAGGCAGATCTAGATGAAACATCAGGGAATGCTTTTGAACCCCAAGGTTAGCAAAGAACTGGAAGATGCTTCCTTGATATTTCACAGACTTCCTCCCTGTATGGATTTTAAGAACAGACTAGAGCGACAGCCATCAGGAATAGACCAAGTATAGCTGGTCCTACCCTAAGATGGGAGAACAGCCTGGTGACCTTCCTGAGGTCCCTCTTCTTTCCAATATGACCTTATGAAGACAGGGCTGAATGGCTCATGTCACCTTTGCTGAACTGAATGATGAAACATTGCCACTTACATGTTACTTTTCATACCAAATGGCCTCTTTAGTGTGTACCAGCTGCTGCGTGTGCACTCTTAGCTGTGGCATTCCGTGCCCATTCACTGCTCAACTGCAAAGTGGGTCTGCTTTATTACTTTAATTCCTACTGCTAGAATTTCCCAGGATTTTAAGAAGGAATTCAAGGAAGTAGCCATGAATTTAGCTAGATGGCACTATAAATACTTCGCCTTGTGCATCGTGCATATTTACTGAACCAAAATGATTTTGGGATGGGAGAGAGGAACAGCAAAAAGTCTGTTGCCCACTACTAGCAGAGGCCTGGCAAAAATTCAGACCTGTCTGTTTATGGAGTTAAGCACGCCTGAGTATTAATGAGTTGCTGCACTATAGCTACATACACTTAATCACTTCACAATTCTCCAGCCCTGTTAAGCTTCAAACTGAGAAATAGACTGTTTAAGTGGTTGATCAAGACTCTGAACTGCATTTGTAAGGTATTTATTAACTTTAATTCTGAAGATGGGAGCAAACTGATCTATAGTAAGACTCGGTTCCTGAAAAAAACTGAACCAGTTCGCAGGACACAACTTTGGGAGAACACAGGCTTAAAGCACTGCAGGAGACAAGAGCAAAATCCAGACGACCTTACTTTTGTGCTTACATAAACCCTCCTTACATAGAGAGGGCAAAATTATATTGAAAAGAAATAACTATACTGAAAGAAATAACTATACTGGTACAGTGTCTGCTCTTATGCAGCTATCTCTGGGTTGCATCTGTGAATCGATAGAGACTTATAAAATAAATGAAACAAGTCCAACGGAAGGTGACCTGTTCTTTCCCACCCACTACGGCACACCATTTCTTGAAGGCTGGGCACAGCCTTGACAACTCAGGAACGGGAGCTGTCACCTCAAAATATTTGTAGTGGTAAAATCCAGAGTTCATAGGAGCACCAAAGGAAGGACAAGTGGACCATGGGTTTCGTCCACTCTATGCTGGACACCTTTGAATTCAGCATCGTCACTGCTTCACGCATTGTTTTTAAACTCTTGGCTGGTGCAAGCCAACCGTGGTTTGTTTACATTTCTTCCACTCTAAGATGACAGTGACTTTTGTGTATATGAAGTGTTTTAAGCGGGTGGGAGATTGCCGCTCACTTCTTTTTGGTTCCTCTATGCATCACAAGGAAGCAAGTCTGTTTCTTAAGCCCAGACTTGGTCAGGGCAAAAGTTCCCTTGGGCTGTTAATCTTCTCATTGCCATCACACATTGCTGCTGCTTCTTCTAATGGGCGATTACTAATTACACCGCTGTTAACCTGTGTCCAAAGGGCGATGAATTGAAATCACAAATCTCGAGTTGCCCGTTCACGTATGGTACAACCAGGGTCATCTCCGTATCACTCTGTAATCTGCATCAGGCCTCTTCGCCTGACAGATTTAAGTGTTGCAGATTAACTCCCGCCGATGCCCTAGCTCAGGATTAAAGCTGTCTTTTCACATCCGGGCGAGGAGATGCACCAAGGTA